TACATTTTTCGAAAGAGGTGGAAACGTGCACAAATACAGGTGAGCATGTCTTTAGGAAGAAAACAATTTGTATGATCACAATGATGTGTTTTATGAAGATCTTATCTGAACGGGTGATGTGAAAGATAACAATGAGACGTTTTAAATTTCCACATAAATAGTGCATAATAGTATGGTTATTTTTTGCATGTCGTAAGATGCTAAATATAAACTTATTGACCATATACATTGAGCAATTATTATTGGGATACAGACAATTATTAAGGTAAGACAGAATAATTTTAGTTCTATTGATGACACCAATTTGCGTTGGTAAATACGTTCTAATAAATTTTAACCAGCTTAGTGTTTTTATATACAGTCGATTTACTATGATTTCAAACACTAAAGCGATATTTTATTCGATATACCAGCAGATTGATTTTACTTGAAATACATTTGGAGATGTTAAAACGTATTATTTTATCAATTATGTACATTAATTTCACAGTCAAACTTGTCCCGTTTTCAGGCCTAAACCAGGCAATAAATCTATAAACTTTTTTAACAATTATCTCAAGTACTATAGCCATTCTTTGGTGCGCTACATGATTTTTTAATACTCTTACGTTTTCTTATAATAAAATTGTATTTTACCTGCGAGTCGACGAAAAAATGGTCCAAGTGGGAGCATTCAGCAGGTGCTCGATGACGTAGTATCCTACCATTGCTAGAATATGTAGATATTTCAAACAACAATTTAAGGCTAAGTCGGTAACACCCAAACTTCATTTATGAGTAAATAGATAATAATAACGTACATGTATCTTTAAAAAGATACTCGGACGAGGTAAAACTACTTTTACTTGCATAGGTTACCTCGGAGTTTTGTAATACTTTTTAATTTTCATATATCTAGGAAACAATGCAAGATATGTTTCTAAATGGAACTGACGTGTTTCCTTAAGTGTACCTCAAACCTGCGTATTCATATACAAATTAATATATGTTTTATTGGTAAATTGTTTATTTGGAGGAATTTTACAGATCTCAAATATCCAAGAAATTGTTATCAATACTCCTTTAGATTATTTTATAATTTGGATATATATACGTAAGTCGTTTCAGCAAGATCCTTTAGACTATTATACTTATCTTAGAATGGCCAATGAGATTTCCTGAGTTATGTTTGTAGTTTTAAAGTGACCAATGAAAACCCTACTAATATTCAGTTCTTCCGTGTAAGTTTTACATGAAGTCGAAGACTTCGTCCGAAAAACGGCTGTGGCTTATTATAATATATTATATAAACTTCATTTTTATTTTTTGTTGATCAATAAAGGGTTGAAGTCATGTACTTAGTATTATTTGCTGTCGTCGGTTTGATATGCGCACGTTACGCGGATTCTGCTCAGTGCGTATGTGCAACCACAAGCGTAGCTGTTAATGGAGCCGGAACATATCCTTACTGACCATCCTCGCTAAAGGTAATTGTCTTACGCTTGGAGGGTCAAGGTGGGGAATTCCAGGAGCATATTGGGTGAATGTTGACTATCAGGGACAGGTTTGTATGACTTTGTATTTCAGGACTTTTAAATTGTTGACAAGGTAATATATTCCAGGGGGTGCGTATACATTTCATTTCTGTTTAATTATTCGTGTTGTGAACTGCGGTGCTATGTTAACGCGCTTGACAATACGATATTCCAACATTTGTATGTTTTCAAGCAAAATGTTATATATGTTTTATATTGCAACAGGACTTTCAAATTGTAGGCCTACAGGATCATTTTTACATGAACGTTGAGACGCCATTTGACGTCACATAAATAAACTAAATGGCGTTAAGGAGAATACGTAATGAAAAGCAGTTTAACAATTTTCAAAAAAAAATTTCTTTAGGGGATATTGGCATAAAAAGATATTATTTTTTCTTGCATGTAAAGTTTATCGTCCTGGTGTTTTGTAATTGATCACTCGGGGACCTGTCTTAGGTCTTACTCCACATCTGAACCGTGTAATATTATTAACGTAAAATGTTTTCATCACAAAGCTCTCTCACACACATATAAGGTTTATGATGTTTGATTTTTTTCTTTATACACTTTGATTCAAGATTGGATGGATCAAAGAAAGGTACGTTACAATATCGGATTGTCTTCAGCTCCCCGGATGTCCTAAAATTTTAACACGTGCGGAATGGGGTGCACGTACCCCCACTTCACCACATACCAAAATGCTTCTTCCTGTCAAATACGTGTTCATACACCACGGTGCTATCGGCTCGTGTTATACCAAAGCTAGTTGTACCAGAATGGTGAAAGGCTACCAAAACTATCACATGGCCAATAATGGTAATGTAATTGTGTTTCACTTAAATTGACTTTAAATATACATATACTGTTGGGAGGAGTGCGGTGGGGTGTGGGAGGGGAGATGTGAGAGGGTGTTACACTGTACTAGATACAATAGAATTTATAATATGCCTTAAAAAGTAAATGTGAACCGTTTTACTTACATATCTCTTCATCTAATAATCTGCAATAAGATATTCAACAAACACAAATTTTGACACAGGTTGGTCAGATATTGGATATAGTTTTGTTGTTGGCGAGGACGGCAATGTGTATGAGGCACGTGGTTGGGACGCTGTTGGTGCACACACAAATGGTTATAATGATGTTGGACTAGGTAAGTTATGTAAGAATACAAAATACAAGTAATGCATGTTTAAAAGGTAAAAATGAATTTTAGAGCTAACGATTTTCACCTTTAATGAAACAATAGTTTTGAAAACAAATCCTTTGAGATATTAATGTATTTAATACAATTCATTGTATCTCTTTAATTTTCTTTACAGGAATCTGTGTCATTGGTAACTTCGAAAACCGCAAACCAAACGAAGCCGCACTGAACGCCATCAAACAGCTTATTGCGTGCGGCTTCCATAATGGAAAGCTGTCGCCTGTTTATTCTTTGCTAGGTCACAGAGATGTGCGGTCAACATCATGTCCTGGACTATCATTTTATAACCTTATTCAGAAATGGCCACACTATAATGTAAACCATTTAAAGGAAATGGGTTCATAGTGTTGTTTTGATGGTATTGTTATATTGTTTAAAAATAGGGGAGTCAATCTTAAATGAAATGACATTGTTTCATTTAAATGAACATTATTGCAACATAAAAATTATATCTCTCCATTTAATTGATAAAAAAGCAAACCCCTAAGCTTAACGAGAAAGTTTTAGACATGTTTTATGCAACGGATAATAATACATGTTAAATGATAATCTCTGAACTACAAAACCAACATAATGCGGTTGCGGCCAGCATGGATCGAGACCAGCCTGCGCATCCGCGCAGTCTGATCAGGATCCATGCTGTTCACTTACAAACCCTATAACAAGTTGAGAAACTGATAGCTAACAGCATGGATCCTGATCAGACTGCGCGGATGCGCAGGCTGGTCTGGATCCATGCTGGTCGCAAATCCATTATGTTGGTTTTGTCATGACGCGGCTCAAATGATAATCTCTGAACTACAAATGTATTTCCAAGGTAAAGGCAATTGGCTTATGCATGATGTTACTATATAAAATAAAAAGATATAATTTCAATTTTTACCCCTGTCCCACATTTTCTATCTTCCTTAAGTGCAAGAGGTCAAGGGGAGCATATGTTGACAACAAAACATGTTATGCTGTAGTTTTACTTTATCTAAGTGCTTTGTAGTTGTTTTTTTTTCCACATTGGTCTGATCAATTTGGATCTTTTGATTACATAACTACTTATAATTAGTTAGGTTTCATAATACTATTTAAACGTTGAAAAAAAAATGTAATATTTTCATCATTTCTATAGAAAAGACTCCACCACAAATCTACAATTTTCGACTGTTTTTGTTTTCATTATTTCGAGGGATTGTAGACCCGCGTGATACAGTTAACAGTTGTGGTATCTTATTAAGTCGTTGCTTGTTGAGTCATATTTTTAACATAATATAATAATACTTGAAATGTCAAGATGTATGTAATTTGTTCTTTGTAACTTTTAATTCTTTTATTGTCACACATATGATTGTATTGTATTTCTATTGCTGATATTTCTTCATGTATTGTACACATCCGTGCACTGTGTAGGGTCCGCTACCAAAATACAATGCATATCATTTTCCATTTTTTTTATTCTATATTTGTCTCCTTTACTTATATGATAAACGACAAACATTAGAGGCATCCAACACAACACTTCAAGAGACTCTGTTTGAAGCCAATAAATAAATGGTATATTCCGATTTTACTACTCTGATTACTAGTATACAACCAGCGGACAGAATAATCCTCTATAGGTCTTAAACAGTTTCCGTAACATACAGTCACAAATCGGAAATTAAATAAAAAAAGATATTTCCTTCATTATTATGCATCATTTTAACGCAATGGTCATTTCTTTGTTAATAAATTTATTTGGTAATGGGTTGCAAAAAAAGATTTTTTTTTTGTTCTTTTTTTTTTTTTTTGGGGGGGGGGGGTAAAATGAAAGAAATACCCCTATAGCAAACTTCTTCTGAAAAAAAATTCTTGTCCAACACTTATTAGTCCTTCACTTTTGAGTTCATCGGTTAAGGTCGCAGTAACACTTGATGTGCCATCCTTGTCTAATCAATGACCAGAGTTTCGTTACTCGTAGGTTTGTGTCACTTATTGAGGATAAACGTCATATAGTAAAGCTTAATATTTCATAGCGTTGAATTACGTATATTGGTGTGTAAAAAAACTGATTTTACATATTTTGACATTTACAAAATATTATTCTAAATGATTATCAATACAGAACTTGTATTGAAGTATGAGTGATGCAATTTTTCTGGTCCTTCGGGATCAACTTTAACATATAGTTTAGGCCTGTGATAGATGCGTCACTTTCATTATCTCTAATCTCAATAACATTGTGTCTTCAATTATCAAAACAATGTGTACTAGCAGAAAAAAATAAATAAATGAGAACTATTTTGCTATTTAGGACAGTGAACTGACTGTTATCCAACAAGGAGATTCTTAGAAAGGCGACATCAATCTGTGTAAGTATGCGACTGTAACAGACATGTAGAATAGTGGCCTAAGTGTCATATACGCGCATTTCTAGATAGATATTCATCTTTTACACCCTTTATTTTGGCTATTAGAAACTATTCTAACTTAGCTTATAATGAGCAGCTGCGGTGTCTGGTTTCGTAGTTATAAACATGTTTGTATTTTGTATCAAAATAAAAAGAAAACTAGAAATGAATGAAAAAAAAGACAATTAACTTAAAACAGGTCTGGCGACTGGTGACAGCTACAACATAAGGTTAACGCCTTATCTACTGAGATGCCATAACAAATGCTGTTTTCAATTTGCGCTATGCATGGTAATAGATTGAAACATCTTGTAAAATTGGATTGAATATTCAAATGTTTGTTATCATATATTATAACTAAATTATGAATCATTTAATTTAGCTCAGTTATGAAGAAAACTGATGGCTATTGATATTCATTTTCGAGAACGGACGTGTAGATTCAGTACTGGTGTCATAATGAGGAAACATGATGGTAAGAACACTAGAAGGGATAAAACCTCAGATCTCTGGGATGATATTTGAAAGAAAGACAACGGCACCACGCCTCTTAATTATTATCAGAATTATGAATGAAAATAAGTACAACTAACTGTTTTATGCTTACAATACGGTTTGTTAGAGCGTTTAAGTTATTGTTATTAGGTGTTTTTTTTAAAAGTAAGTTCATGTTTATTGCTCTGAATGTTTAAGCTTGTTTTAAGTTATTCTATAAATATCTTACAGGATTTACTCTGAATTAAGCAATAGTATGCATGTAATGTTACAGTTCTGATGAAAGTATTCTAGTCTACTCCAAAACACCGATAAAATATTGAAGTCATATTACAGATTTACAAGTAGCTTCATGTTACATAAATGGCTATTAACACAAATTAAAAATCACAGCCGATGCATATGTTTTCGAGCGAACATGGAACGACAGAAGAACAGGTTCAATATATAGTGGAATATTTAAAGTCCTCTCAAACCCTTTCCACGTACAAACAAGACAACATAGGACTAAGTGTCCACTTATCTATAAACGTCAATTTCAGGTGCGTAATTCGTTTTGGCATAATGACCTTTTGGGGAAATAAAGACGTATAATTGCTAACTTTAATTCACCTTAACTTTATCTACATTAGTTATAATCTTCCTACGTGTCTCTCTCCTAAATATAGAATTATATATACAGTACACACAGTAAACTTTAAGCTAAATTTACGTATTTCAAAATATTTGAGTTGTACATCGTTAAGATTTGTATTTGATAGATACAAAAATTCCGAAAGTAACGTACAACTTATTTACGTAAATCATATGAGAGGCTTGATGTAATATAACTTGTACGTTTTTTAATTTTCTTTGCATCTAAAGGTAACTGTATGAAAGAACAACAACGGTAAAGCAGAAACGTAAATGAATTCGTTTCATACTAGCAAAGCACATAAAACACTGCTGGTCTAATAGTGTGGCCATGTTTGGATGAGATCGTACAGTTTTTGGCCAGGACATGCTGTTTGTCCCACATCTCTGTGACCTCGCAGAAGATATGTAGAGGACAGTTTTCCATTAGCAAGGCCGCAAGCGATGAGCTGTTTCACGGCGTTGAGGGCTGCGTCGTTTGGTACGCGGCTAGTGAAATCACCAATTACACAAATTGCTGAAAAAATAAAAACTATATTCTGCCTAGTGGAATCGATTTATTTTCATATTCCTTATGTTGACTTTTGCACTATTCAGTCTACTGATAACCTAGATATGTTCTGTTGGAAGCAAACGTTTACAAAATTTAATCGAAAATCCTTAACAATTGACAGTTATAAACAGTAGAAAGTGCAAGTTCATGGCGACATTCAGCAAGGTAATTATGATAACCTGCTTCGTCATTGCATGTCTTTATATATAATATTTCTATATATCAGTTGTATGCTAGATTTGAAATTATTTTTTTTTTATTTAAAGGTCTTAATCATTTTACTGAATGAAGATATCCAAAGTAATTTACCAAGTCCGACACTATTATAACCATACGTGTGTGCACCAACAGCGTCCCAACCTCGTGCCTCATAAACATTGCCGTCCTCGCCAACAACAAAACTATATCCAATATCTGACCAACCTGTGTTTCAGTTCAATTACATATGATAATTGTAATTAAAACGATTCACAATAACTGTGTTGTGATTATTTAAAATTTATCGTTAAGAATACGGTATGAAAGTTTATTTATCGCGACTTTTATGGTTATAATGACCAAAAGATTTTTTTCGGCCGTGGAAGATTTTAGAAGTGTAGTAGAGCGCTTTATCATACGTTGATGACCTGTTGTGTGTAGAATTTAAAATCATATGTATATATTACTGTAACATATACATTACTGTATACTTTAACCAATAAACATTCACGTAAAAAAGTATACATTGCCGTGAACAATACACATATATATTCATTACCGTGACAAATATATAATCATTACCGTGACCGTCCATGTGATAATTTTGGTAGCTTTTCACTTTCTGTATACAATCAGCCTTGGTGTGACAGAAGCCGGAAGCACCGTGATGTATAAACATATATTTGACGGGAAGATGAAGTTTCCCGTGCACAGAAGTAGAGGCACGTGCGCCCCATTCTGCACGTGTTATGATATGCGGGCATCCAGCGAGCTGTACGTGATTGTTCGTTGTAGAAGATGAACCACAGTGTGAAATTGTGACATAACCTTCATGTATCCACCCGTTCTGAAATGAATTTACGACAAAACAATTATCCAATCATTAGATAGTTGACAAGAACGTCAGTGACAAGTATGTCAGGAGTATTACATGAGTACCTATTCTGTATAGTTTAACCTAAATTGCTGATCGTTTCTCACAAAAAACAACATTATTTATCTTTTCTTTAAATAAATAGGTACATTTGATATGTTTAATGCATTCGCTGGTACGAGAAAAGCACTGGATAAGTTTTTAAGTATGGCAAAAACTATGGATGATAAGTTGATTTACTAAAAATGTACGTGCCTTTCCATGGTAGTCAACATTCACCCAAGATGCTCCGCTCACTGTTTGTCTGTGACCTTTAAAGGTCAGACAATGACCTGTAGCAAGAGTAGTTAGTATGGTATGTGTTGTACCAGCTCCATCTCGAACATGCACGTTCGTTGTTGCACATGCGCACTGAGCGCATTCTGCGTAACGTGCGCAGAACAATCCGACAATCAATGATAACACGATGTACATGGCTATGTACAATGTTTCCCTTTAAATAACAGTAAGCTGAAGTAAACCAAAAGAACAAATAAAAAAAAATTGTCAATCATGAAATACTTAGGTTTGGTTTATACAGAATTTATTTTAGTTCGATTGTGTAGGAAGCTATTACCTTATAGACACACTTTCGAATCCGTTCCTGGAACCAACCAGTACTGAGCAATGAGTGTAAAGTTTTTTGCGCAAGGAGACAACGACTTGCCCCTGACGGGATTTGAACCCATGCGGCTAACGATCATTAGATTACTAGTCCGACGTGTTAATCACTCAATATTTAGCTTTATAAAGACATTCTATTTGCCTTTGAACTGAAAACTATAAATGATTTAGTATTTTAATAATCATTGAAATGTCTTTAAATTACCCAATCTTGGTAATAATTATACTGTGAAACATCATTTATTAATTATTTTATGTCACACAACGTTATTAGAATTATAGTAATTATGTGATGAACCTTAAAATAACTTTTTTCTCTGGCATCGATATTAACTGTGAAACACCATTCTTCCTATAGGTATGCTTTAAACAAAACCTATCTGTTAACTTTTGTGTATAAATCAAATGTTATTTTCCATGTAAATTCAGTTTTTTATGATAAAACTAAATCTACAGTTTTTTTTTTATTTTGAAATTAATATAGTTATGTACGTTTCTATAGAAACTATACAATATTAGATATACTTACAGCTAATCGGCGTCTCTTACTAATAACTAAGTGTATTCTGATCAAACCTTAATTGTCAATTATATAATTTAAAAAAAAATGAAACTTACGCCTAGTATTTTCACAAGGAATGTTCACTATCTCAATGAAGATTTCGTTAAATACCTTGAAGTTTGTCCGTGATCTAGTTGTACAAGATAAAGATGTCAGATTTCTTATCACTGCTAGTAGAACATTATGTTTCCCTTTATTAATAAATTACAAATGAGCCGCGTCATGACAAAACCAACATAGTGCGTTTGCGACCAGCATGGATCCAGACCAGCCTGCGCATCCGCTGAGTCTGATCAGGATCCATGCTGTTCGCTTACCAACTATATTACAAGTAGAGAAACTGATAGCGAACAGCATGAATCCTGATCAGACTGCGCGGATGCGCAGGCTGGTCTGGATCCATGCTGGTCGCAAACCCATTATATTGGTTTTGTCATGACACGGCTCATTTCTTATCACGGCTAGTAGAACATTATGTTTCTCATTATTAGTAAATTAACAAATATTTATGCAAAACATTTATTTATATATGTATGACTTTAAATATGCTTTTTTGTTTATTGTCTACTTCTCGGGATATTTTCAAATGATCTTTTTATGGATGATCAAGATTTTTATCCGATAGTAAGACATACATTCAATAATATTTGTTACTTTTCAATGAAGAGGACACACAGACAAAATTAAATCATTTTTTCACTTTAACTAAAAACTATTTGTTTTAAGGTTTCAATTTTTACCATATCTTAGCACATAGATAAAGCGGGCTCATTACAGACAAAGGGAATACGGTATTGTTTTTCCTAATTGATATACACGTGCTTACTGAAACATTAGCATTCAACCGACTAGACAATTTGAAAAATCCAGATTTTCTATAATACCCTGTTTATCTAGTACTGATTGAATTCGACCTAAACCACCAAACATAACATTGTTCAATTTTTGGGGAGTTGCGTGCATTATTTTGCATTTCTAAATATACACGGTGTATCATATCGGTGCCAACATCATTGTTTCGGTGAAATGCATTTAGAATCACTATCAACAGATGTCTTCTTCACAACTACTGTTATCTAGTCATGAAAATATTGCTTTATCAAAGTACCATCCTCAACAACAATTAGCACCTCATCCAGAATTAAATAAAGGTGTTCATAAAATTTAAGTAAAGTCGTTATTACATGTTCTATATAATTTAAAACACATTTTATATAGATATGTGTTTAGCGCCCAATATAAATTGAGATTCGGCTCAACTATCTAGTTTTTACTGGTAATGTACGGTTTAATATTCGGAATTTTGTCACGTAACGAAGGAAAGGTTTAAAAGTTAATAGGAAGTATTTTTGTATTTATTTTTTTCATGATATTCTTTAGAATGTATATTTGCTAGAGTTATCAATAAAATTATACCAATCATTTAGAAACATATCTTTTAGTTTCTGTCTTATTTTGAGATTCAACCACTTCTCTTATCAACGTGCTATAAAGTGTAAGATTATATGTCTTAGTTTTGTCACCACCAGGACAATTTATTACTCCACTCAGCGAAAGCACCCTGCCATTGTGCATTTTTAAAAGAAAATATATAAAATTTAGCTTAACAAATATTTATATGCTCTCATACAATGGTCATATAGTGGCCTAACAACCATGGCTATCACTGAGTTTTGGAGAATATAAATAAAATTGCGTTAGGATGCCAACTGTTTTTAACGAGGATTCTGCATATACATGTATTTTGTTTCGCTAGAAATTCAACGGTCTACATTGTTTGGCGTAGGGAACTGGTTAACTAAAAAAATGAGTTTATTTTTAAAATAAACTTACATAATATTAACATGTACATGTATGTTAAAAAAGTATAAAAGAAAGAAAGACCCACCCCCCCCCCCAAAAAAAAAAAAAAGAACAAAAGCAACAGCAAAACAATAACCAAACAATTTCATTTTATTAAATTCATATCATCATACCAAAATAATGCATAATCGCACAAGAGATAGAATTAGATTTGTCTTTGGTCACCTTGTTTCCAGATTTTAAACTTCACAACAGCAGATGTCAAGTGCTGTGTGGCAGCTGTAAAAAGTTGCCCCGTACTTCACTTTGGTGTTGCTATATTTTTTCTGGTCCTTAGGGATCATTGATGCCACCACTATTAAGTGTTGAGAATTTAGTACCGCTCAAGCCGGTGCTAAGGGGCGTGAGGGATGTTGCACGTCTTCATTATCCCTCATGAACAGACTCAATCAAACCGACTCTACAATTTTCTTGTAATTTTGTTGTGATTAATGCTTCCGAGGGATCACTTTTGTTTCCAGATTTTTTTACTGTATTGTGTTTCTGATTTGCTCGCATGTAATATGTTTTTTTTTAGTTGTTTATCGTCTTATGATGTGCGCGCACGTGGACTAAGATGTGCTTCATTGGAGGAACATTTTTATACATTTTTTCGTTTTCAGGCGGGGGGAAAATTTTGGGGGGGTCTTTTTTAAAGGGGGTTTGGAAATTTTTGGAGGGTCGTTTTCGGGCTGTTGGGAAATTTGGGGGAATTTGTCATTTTTAGGGCCAGGGGCTGCAGGTCGATGACATATTTTTAATCATCAAATTACTTAATTTAAAAACCAGTTCATCGCCAAAAAAAATACAAATGTAATTTTTTTTAAACCTAAACTTTTTCCCCGCTTTGGTTTTAAGTTTTTTGATAATTACCGGGATTTTTTTTTAAATTCACAATAGCGGGGATTCAAAATTACTGAACTGGATATTTTTATATTGTAAACAAAATTGGGGCCAAAAGAAAAAATTTAAATAGTTTTTTACCTTTTTTGCTAAATTACATTCAATAAGGAAAAAAAAATCAATTTTTAAACACAAATTTTGTTAAGGTTAAAGCTTAAAAACAACTATTGACTTTAAATGTTACAAATTGAGGATCTTTATTTTAAACAGGTCATATTTATATCTTACCTTATGTTTCATCAGGCTAGGTTGAATATATTGTAACATGTGTTTGATATGTTATTAAATTTGTTACCTAGAAACAGTTGGGAAAAAAAATGTAAATTCAGAAAAAGATCCATTCAAAAAATTCAAAGTTCTGAAAATTAAACCAGCACATTTGGGACTATTTGCTGTCGGCGTTTGTCAACAATTTAAAATAAACCAAGTTCATCGTGATCGTGTGATGAATTGAACTGATTGTATCAAGAAAAACTTGCTTTTAAATGAGGAAAAACAATTTACGCGTTAATAAAATATGCCATATATGTAAACATTAATTTGATAGCTGTAATGAATCAGGCAAGGTGAGTGAATTAGACTACTTTATTGGGTTTGCTATTTAAAAAGCATACACTAATGCTCATTTTTGGGAAAAATACTTTTTCCGGGTTTAAATAAAATCTAGAAATTAAAAACCCGATTTTTGATTTTTTTTGAATGAAGAAGAAAAAAACTATGGTTAGGAAGAAGCCCCAAATTTCCCAAAAATTTGGACCTTTTTTAAAAAAAAACTGGCCATTTTTTTAAAAAGACGCAGAAAAATTCATTTTTTGAGTTTTTGGTTTTACAACTAACTTTTCTCATTTTTGTGTCCCTAAAATATATTTATATTCTTTTAAAAAAAAGGACTGTGTACAATTTTAAAGTAGTTTCAAGTAGAGATTTGAGCATCATAGGTAATTTTTTTGTTATTTTTTGCTACTTTACATTTCTAAAATTTAAAACCTTTTTCCCCCTTTTAAGTGATCATTTCAAAGTAACTTTTTGGAATCAAAGATTAAGTTTGATTCCGGAAAAGCCTAAAAAATAATTAAAAAACTATCAATAATGAATGAACCTTGCACGAAACAAAGAATTTTTTATACGATAAAAAAAAATTCAACCCCTATTTCGATTGTTAGGATTAACAAGCGGTTATTCGTTTAGTATTACCCGTAATACTAATTGCAGATCAATTAAATATTTATATAATTTTACCAATTTTTTATATTAAAACACTAGTCGAAAATTATTTTTTCTTCAGAAAATTATTGGTTTTTCAAATGACACGATACGACTTTAATTTATTGAGAATTAGGACGAGGATTCCTTTAAACGGTTGCAATCATTACATACTATCTAACATATGTTAAAAGATATAGCATTTGGACCAAACCAGGGGGATTTTTTTTTCTATATATACTCGGTGTTAAAAAAAATTTTGAACAGCATCGAAAACTATGTGATTGGGTTTACCCCTATGATAAAAGTTTGGCTTGTTCACTAAAATTTGTTTGATGCAATGAATTTATGCAAGGGTGTAGGTGACGATAAGTTATTTCGTTATTTAGTTAAACAAAAAATTAAAGATCAATCAATACATGAAACTGTAAGTCAAGATTATAGGACTCTAGAAGAGCTTTATTTATAGAAAATTATTTTCTACCATCCATGAAGGGTTATTAAATAGAGAAAACACTGAAAAAGAGAACACGGTAAAAAAATTGTAAATGTTGGTCATGGACGGAAACGGTTCTTGGAATGTGCAAGTAACCAAATCCACGGCCCCAAATAGCACCGGGTTAAGCAAAATTTCCCAACATTAAATAAATTTTTAGTTTACAGCTTGCAGATGCATACTTAATAAAACACAAGGAGTCAAGAAACCAACAATTTCTGTAACAACATCAAAAAACTTACCCATTGAATCGTCGCAGTTTTACATCGTTTTTTACAGAAAAGATTTAAAAAAAGGGGATTAAAAAAAGTTTCCCCTTTTTTCAAGAAAGGGGGAATTTGGGTTTAAAACGGAAAAGGTCGGACTCGTATTAACTCGGGCCGGAATATTTGAAACCTTTTTACGGATCCCAGAATAAAAACGGAGCGGGTTTCAGGTTAAAAAATTAAAAAAATTTATAATTTTCCCAAAAAAAGTACCCCCATAAACTTATTTTTTTTGCCTTTTCATTCCCTTAGTGTCCCAAAGTACGTGAGTTTCGATAACCCCGGGGAAAGTGAAAAGATTCAGAAAGGTGCCCTTTTGCCCTTTTTAAGAGGGGCAAAACAACTCCTTTTTATATTGATCATATGTCCCAATATATTTTAAACCACACCATGAAATCCCAGAGTGCAAATTCTAGCTGTATTTTAAACTTTTTAATGTAAAACCCCTTGCGGGGAAACCTTACCTTTGAGAAAAGAAAC